TTTGGCGGGAAAAAAGACTTTTATTTTGGTCTGTCGATGTGACGTCACAAGGCTGCGCTGTGCTCCCGCGTCTGTGTTTCTGCTGAAGAAAAGTGAGTGCTTTTAACCATTAAAGTGTTTAAATTAATACCACTCGTTTAGAGAATTGTGTGTTTAACAGCGAAAATAAATATCACCTAATGTAAGTTAACACTTCGGTGCTTTATCTATCTATCAGACATTAATGAAGGATATTTTTTATGATGTAAAGCATGATTAACAGAAACTGTGCGTCTCTTTTCGCTCCCAGTTTCGTGAATCAGTTTATCATAAACACGGATTCAGTCACTGGCGAGTAGTGATGCAGAAACGCAGCTTTTTTAAACTCCGAGTCAACTGAATCAACTCCGAGTCAACTGAATCAAGTGATTCACAAAATGATTCAGTGATTCGAATCGCCTCACACTGAGAACACACTGCTGCTTGAAACAGTGTAAATGCAACGAGAACAAACGTGTTGAAAACTTTTACAAACCAACTGCAGATGTTTCCATGAAAACAGAATCCATTAAATAAAACCTACCAATCTTAATACAAATATGAAACTTGTATATTGTGTTCTAAGCGCTAGGCTAGTTTTTGTCTTTGTCTTATCAGGTCATTTAAGGCCATTAACTAATGTAAGTTAACACTTTGTCTAGTAAGCCATACTACGGGTGTTTTTTTAAATAATGCATTATAACGTAGGACAATAGTATTTAACAGTGCATTGAATGTTGCCATAGGATCGTACAACATTATGCAGTGATCCAATGCGAAACTTAAACCATTTATTGAAATGATCAAGTCATAAATAGAGAAATATGTGTAATTTTGGTCAGTTTTATGACCTCATAACAGTTTTTATTACACTTAAATGGCATATATTGGTGTTTATTCTTACTGTGAGCCTTATTACTGCTAAAATAAGCAGTACCACCAGTATTTAGTGCTATTTTTCATTTCTTATTATATATTTACAATCTATATGTCAATATTCTTTGTTTTCAGTAGATCTTCACCTCTTTACTGTTATCCTTCACAAATAACTCAAGGTGGGCTTGCTATTCAAAAACTTTTATTTTGCAGCTGTCTACTCGGCTCTTCTATGGAAAGAGGTCGACTGCTGTTGTGCCAGCTGACCCCGCTATCAGTGATGATGAGGGCTCTGACGAGGAAGACGACGATGTGGCAGACCCCGACTTCATCCCACTTTCCGCCGAGTGACATGGGCCCCTCTGCCAAGCGGAAGTGTGTGCGGCCTGCAGTGGAGGAGCTTGCGGACGAGGATGACGACAATGAAGAGGAGGAGGACGAAGACCAGCCAGTACCACAAGCCAAGGGCCCCACAAATAAGGGGAGGCCAACCACCTGGAAGAAGGTTGACCTGGACAACCAAGACCTGCCTGAGTACCAGCACATTTCCCCTGACTTAATTGAGACTCCATGTAAGTACTTCAGCCCCCATGTCATCAAGCATATAACATACCAAACCAACTTATATGCAACCCAGAAGGACGTCAACACCACCTTCACCACCACTGAAGATGAGGTGAGGACCTTTGTGGCCATCCTGCTCTACATGGGGATTTCTGAGCTGCCCTCCATTGATGACTACTGGGCAATGGAGACCAGGGTGACCCTCAAGTTGCAAACCTCCTGTCATCTAAGAGGTTCAGGCTGATGAGAAGGCTTGTCCGCTTTAATGACAACACCCAGATTCTTCAAAGTCCGGCCACTGTTCAACCTCCTGGTTACTGCCTTCAGGAGTGAGCCACAGACCCCCAAGCAGTCTGTGGATGAGGTTATGGTTGCCTTCAAAGGCAAGACAAATGGGGATTTAAGTTGTTTGCCAGGGCTTCTGAAGATGGTTTTATTCATGACCTGATCTACATGGGGATTTCTGAGCTGCCCTCCATTGATGACTACTGGGCAATGGAGACCAGGGTCCCTCAAGTTGCAAACCTCCTGTCATCTAAGAGGTTCAGGCTGATGAGAAGGCTTGTCCGCTTTAATGACAACACCCAGATTCTTCAAAGTCCGGCCACTGTTCAACCTCCTGGTTACTGCCTTCAGGAGTGAGCCACAGACCCCCAAGCAGTCTGCGGATGAGGTTATGGTTGCCTTCAAAGGCAAGACAGATGGCAACCTGAGGCAATACATCAAAAACAAGCCAGACAAATGGGGATTTAAGTTGTTTGCCAGGGCTTCTGAAGATGGTTTTATTCATGACCTGGTGCTATACCAGGGCAAAACTACGCTGAAGGCCCACGGTGTCCCCATGACGTCTGAACAACAAGCCATGGGTGTCACCAGCCAGATAGTCTCCGTCCTGGCCAGCACCATGTCCTCCTCCAAAATAGTTCTTTTTTGCAACATCATCATGTGTATTTGGTGTAATGAAATGTGTTTATGCGGTTTAAGGTTAAAAACACATTATTTTCCACATATTGTACATTATTGTTTCTCACACTCCCATTTTTCCACAGTTTTACACGCCCATTTCTGGAGTCTTTCTCAGATCTAAGGTGTGAACGACCAGTGCTGAAACGGGGGTTTCATGACACTTTAAGTTTGAATGTGATGTCTGTAGGTGTCACCTTCCCTGATCTCTGTGATAATGAGTGTTATAGTTATGCTGATTGGATTAGAGTTGGTGAAAATCTGGGCAAATACATCCTTTACTAATGACTGCCTCCTGAAATCATTATAAAACTACATTGATTGTCTGCTTTAGTCAGTCTTGATGACTGCAGCACCACACATTACCATCTCAATCAAGAACCTGCTGAAGAGTCACTCAGTCTCCTGGGCCTGTATTCTTAAATATTTTAAGAATCCTCTCAGAGAGCTCTTAATTTATCTTAAAATTTCTAACTAGGAGTGATTCAGGATCAATCTGAGAGCAACTCTGAGCGAGGAAAAGACAAAATCTTTCTTAGTGAGGAGGTGGGGCTGACCTCGTGCTAGCTATGACACAGTCTTTTGAAGACTATGATTGGTTGGTTGTTCAAGAAGGAAATAAAAGAACGCTTTTAAGACTAGGGTCTATTATAAGCCTTCACTTAGAAATTACAGGCGTAATTTTTCATGTTTTACCGTTCTCTCTCTCTCCCTCACACACACACACAATATATATGTATATATATATATATATATATTCTTTATTTTTTATTTACCATGCTGTCATACTTAACCCATTTTATAGGAAATGAACAGCGACACAATAAGGTTCTGAAAGTGCTGTAATGAAAGTGCTGTAATTGTTTGTGTGATCACTTTGCTTATAGAAGGTTGTGACAGACCCAAGTCTGCATAGTTGTATTTTTCCAGTTGCCAATTATGTTAATGTAGTTAATGTAGTGATCACTTCCATTTCTGGCGCTATGGCATTTCTGCGCGGTGTCTGAGATGTTAGCGTGTCTCTAATAAGATTGATCACAAACATGATCTCTGCACGATCTAATGTGTAGCGTCTTATTAACTCAATTTCTATTAACTTAAAGGAACACTCCACTATTTATGAAAATAGGCTCATTTTTCAACTCCCCCAGAGTTAAACAGTTGAGGTTTACCGTTTTCGAATCCATTCAGCCGATCTCCGGGTCTGGCGGTAGCACTTTTAGCTGTAGCTTAGCATAGATCATTGAATCTGTTTAGACCGTTAGCATCTCGCTGAAAAATGACCAAAGAGTTTCTATATTTTTCCTATTTAAAACTTGACTCTTTTGTAGTTACATTGTGTACTAGGACCGACGGAAAATGAAAAGGTCTGTCCTTACCCCCAGGTACGCCGTGGCCGCCGTAATCGGCTCCCCTGAAGGGGGAAGGAGGGGGAGTAGAGCGCAGTCTCGGGAGTACCCCCGGCCTGCGAGAGGCAAGGCCTGGACTTCTCTTGTTCAACACTGTCGCCACTCCTCCTTTTATCCTTCCGGAGCTCCTCCGTGGGACTTGAGACCGGTGAGTGGCGCAGGTGTCGCGCATTAGCATTTACTCCACCGGCCTCGTTTTAGCTGTAGCTTAGCATAGATCATAGAATACTGATTAGACCGTTAGCATCTCGCTGAAAAATGACCAAAGAGTTTCTATATTTTTCCTATTTAAAACTTGACTCTTTTGTAGTTACATTGTGTACTAGGACCGACGGAAAATGAAAAGTTGCGATTTTCTAGGCCGATATGGCTAGGAACTTGTGACGAGAGGGGCGGGGCCGAGAGCTGTGGGAACGGAGCGAGGCCGGTGGAGTAAATGCTAATGCGCAACACTCATTCACTCAGTTATGTAATTTTTAATGCAAAGATGACATTGTTTGAGATGTCTTTGTTATGGGCTATGGGTATGGTTAGGTTAGGTCAAATAATGTCATATTTGCATTAAAAATTACATAACTGAGGGAATGACACTTAATGCCAGTTGTCATAAACATGCATAAAACCTAAATGCATGTGTCATGTCATGATTATGAAGGTGTCATGTCAGTCTTATGCACACCCCTTCAAGTAAAGTGTTACCAGATTTTTTCTCTCCCCTCTCGTATCTGTCTCTCCTCATCCTTCCGTCTCCTTTTCTCTCGCCTCGTCTGTCTGTCCTTACCCCCAGGTACGCCGTGGCCGCCGTAATCGGCTCCCCTGAAGGGGGAAGGAGGGGGAGTAGAGCGCAGTCTCGGGAGTACCCCCGGCCTGCGAGAGGCAAGGCCTGGACTTCTCTTGTTCAACACTGTCGTAACTCCTCCTTTTATCCTTCCGGAGCTCCTCCGTGGGACTTGAGACCGGTGAGTGGCGCAGGTGTCGCGCATTAGCATTTACTCCACCGGCCTCGCTCCGTTCCCATGGCTCTCGGCCCTGCCCCTCTAGTCACAGAACTATACTCTCATTCCGGTGTAATAATCGATGAACTTTGCTGCCGTACCATGGGTGCATCAGACGCAATGATATTACGCAGTTCATAACTTAAGGAATCTGTGATTCATCTCTTACAGATCCATGTGACACTATTATAAAGATGGTGTTTATTAAAGAGGAGAGTGAAGACCTGAAGATTGAAGAAGCATTCAGAGTCAAACATGAAGATACTGAGGAACAAACAAAGATGGAGTTTATTAAAGAGGAGAGTGAAGACATGAAGATTGAAGAAGCATTCAGAGTCAAACATGAAGATACTGAGGAACAAACAGGTTGGTTTTCATTCTCAAAGCTGAACTCACTCATCTGATCCTTATTAAAATGTCCAGCTCTAGAGAAAGGAATGATATTTTTGAAGAATGTCATACGAGTTTTGTAATTAAAAATGTTTTATTTGACATGGAGCGGGTTGCCTCATGTGGACAGACATGTTGTGGTCACATGACCCATTACCTCGAAAATGAGCACTGAAATATACGCAACTAAGATTATACAATAAACTTTGCTCTTTTTTTATCATCATCACTTCAAATAATGGGAAGAGGTTTTGAGATTACATTAAACATTTCCTTTAATAGCTTAATGTTTATTAGAACTACATGTTGTTGGGTTTGATGTTTGTTCTTTGTGCCATTATAAATGGTGTTAATCTGGATTTGTCTTTTTTGCATTAGACCTGATGACACTGAAAGAGGAGAGTCAAGAATTCAATGAAAAGGAAGATAATGTTCAGCATGAGAAATATAATTTCATGACTGAAGAAAAATCATTCAGTTGCTCACATACTGAAAAGACACAAAAAAGAGCTCAAAATACAGCAGTTAGGGTAAGTTATTTCACCTGCCAACAGTGCGGGAAAAGTTTCACCAGAAAAGACAATCTTGAAGTCCACATGAGAGTTCACACTGGAGAGAAACATCACACATGTTCTCAATGTGGAAAAAGTTTTTCATATAAACAACACCTCGATGACCACACGAGAATTCACACTGGAGAGAAACCTTTCACCTGCCCTCAGTGTGGAAAGAGTTTCACTCAAAAAGGACACCTTAAAAACCACATGAGAGTTCACACTGGAGTGAAGCCTTTCACCTGCAAACTGTGTGGAAAGAGCTTAATTCGAAAATCAAACCTTAACAACCACATGAGAATTCACAGTGGAGAGAAACCTTTCGTATGTTCTCAATGTGGAAAAAGATTTACACAAAAACAACACCTCGATGACCACACGAGAATTCACACTGGAGAGAAACCTTTCACCTGCCCTCAGTGTGGAAAGAGTTTCACTCAAAAAGGACACCTTAAAAACCACATGAGAGTTCATACTGGAGTGAAGCCTTTCACCTGCAAACTGTGTGGAAAGAGCTTAATTCGAAAATCAAACCTTAACAACCACATGAGAATTCACAGTGGAGAGAAACCTTTCGTATGTTCTCAATGTGGAAAAAGTTTTACACAAAAACAACACCTCGATGACCACACGAGAATTCACACTGGAGAGAAACCTTTCACCTGCCCTCAGTGTGGAAAGAGTTTCATACAAAAAGGAAACCTTAATAAACACATGAAGATTCACACTGGAGAGAAGCCGTTCACATGTGATGGACGTAAGGTTGCTCTTTAACGTGTACGATCACAATAGTGATTCGTGTTCAGTGTGTCATGTGATTAAGTTCAAATATGCTTTCGTGCTTTGGCTGGTGCTGAGCCAGAGATGGACGAGCTTAGCGCTTGTCATATCCCTTACGAAAATTAACAATGGTTTTACTGTAGTAAAACTGAAGTAACTATGACTGTAGTAAGTGTATTTTCTATGTATGATGAGTATACAGAAAAATGTATGATAGATAAATAAAATGTATTTATTTACCACTTGTAGTAAAATTGAAACCATCTATTTTATTTTGTTACAGAGAAAGTATGTTAAAAGCACATTAGTTCATATTCATGGTGTCCCAAAATATCACAGTTGACTACACTTAGATGTTCTAAAGATTATCTTAAGAAGTACTAAAGAATAATTTTTAGCATATTAACGACAAAACGAATGCCAAGCGGCAACCTCCCGCTCTCTCTCGTGAAGCCAACAAGGAAGTGACTTAAACTGTAATTTGTCAACTGGCCGCTAGAGACTGGCTGCAAAAGGGAGTCAATTCTCCTTTCGGCTGCGATCTGACTGGAGGTACCACTCGTCCAGACAGCTTCTGGCCGGCATTTTTAGCATATTAACGACAAAACGAATGCCAAGCGGCAACCTCCCGCTCTTCCTTGAAGCCAACAAGGAAGTGACTTAAACTGTAATTTGTCAACTGGCCGCTAGAGACTGGCTGCAAAAGGGAGTCAATTCTCCTTTCGGCTGCGATCTGACTGGAGGTACCACTCGTCCAGACAGCTTCTGGCCGGCTCGGCAGGAGGCGCCCACTCCAAACCGAGCTCATCAACTGCCTTGGACAGGACGCTAAGGAGCTCGACATCACTATGATGGAGGTCCCCCGCGTCGCTGCCGAAGGTCGCAGTGTAATCCAGCGGGCTGTTAGACCACTCCTCTTGGGCACGTGGGCACTGAGCCAGCGCGGGCTCGTCCCTTGACAGATCCTCATCAAAAGCTTGCGGCACTTTCCTCCTTCACTCGAACGAGGCTGCAGAGGAAGAGCACAGCAGTTGATGGCCACACGGAGCTTGAGAGTCCGGAGGCTCATATCTCCGCAGTGGGGGCAGTCCGACCCCCCAAGCGCCGCCTCTGCGTGGGCGCGACCCAGGCAGAAGACGCATGACTTGTGGCCATCAGAGACTTCGATTGGCTCTGCGCAGGACAGGCAATCGCGAGTCATCCTTGTTTCCCGAAGCTCACCGGAACACAGCAGGGGAAGAGAAGGCGTGTCCGCTGCAGTGTGTAGATCACGTTGAGTAGTCTTGTTGATAGGCTTCTTGCTTCTCGTAGAAGGTTGGCTGAAGAAAAAGATTCTGAATAGATGACATACAAGCGCTGCTTTATATAGAGTGGGAGGCCCTCATATTTCGTGCGCTTGAACGCCATTGGCCAGTTTCACTGGCGTGATTCAATAAGGCTTCAGTAGTATTTGGAGGAAAGGGTAATTCCCATAGCAATGTAGAGTGACCGAATCGAAAGGGAACAGCGCTGTGGCTTTGTTTGGAATTATTTTTGTTGGCGAAATAGTGCAAAAACAGGCAATATGGTGTCTAAAACGTAAGTCTCTTAATAAAACTTCTAGTTTATTGAACTGTTGTCAATTTCACATTCATATATGGTAATTTTTGGAGAAAAAATGCACTCTTCCGTGTGAAATTGATTAACTATATGAAGTGATATAAATATACACATTTTCTGCCCCCTTGTCTTGAATTTGGGATAATTCTAAATGTATTTTAATAGACTGAATCGTGCAGTGAAAGAGCACACTCTTAATGCGCATGTGCACTAGACTTCACATAATGCGTGCACTCTGTAGGTGTTTTGAATGTTTTTTTGCGTTGTGAGAATTTTGAGCAAAATAGCTCACTTGTCATGGTGTAACTTAGCTATATCATGTTATGAATAAACTAAACATTTTGAATTCTTACCTCAGTGTGTTTCTTCTGAATTTGTATGCTGTCACGCTCATCTGTTCTGAAGTCTCTCAAGAGACAAACAGAGTGAGCCTTGTATTCTGCTAACTTACTACAATTCTCTCATTCCAGTGAGGTAAAATGCACGTTTTTGGTGGGGTTCCCCTGGTAAAATTCGCATTTTAGGGGCTAAATATCACGTTATTGGGGTCGCTTAAACCCGCTGACATGAAAAACAACCCACGGCATCAGTGATAAAATAGCTCAATTCCGCGAGAAAACTGCAGACTTGGCAACACTGCCAATGATTGTAAAGTCATTAGGTCCATCAGACTGAAGATATTTTAGCGGTAATGTGACCAAAAATATTTAAGACCCATCGAATCCGAATTTAAGACATTTTAAGACTTTTTAAGGCCTTATAAAAGGAAAACGTTATTTAAGACATTTTAAGACTTTTTAAAGGACCCGCGGACACCCTGAGGTAAGTCAACTCAAGAGCTCAAGTTTGAACTCAGAGTTGCTGTTGAACCTCCTTATCGAAACGGACCCCTTGTAAAATGAAAAGCATATTTAACTTTTTTTTTTTTTTACATTTTCAAAACTCTTTTAAGAATATTACAGTAATAAAATGAGTTTTTTTTTAATCCAAAACTTTCATCACCTTCTTATACAATGATTATATTAATTTAAGACTTGTGCTACCTATGAATGACCAACTATTAAAACAGTACTCAATATGTGATAAAACCAATAAATACAAACACAATATGGCAGCACCTACTGTCAAAAATGGCCTAATGAACTTAAGACTAAAATCCAATGTAACCCCAAGATTATATATAAACTCTTTATCAAATCCAACGTCCTCCCCTCTCAGGAATACATTTGTTTGTGTCATATCTAATCATTGTTTTGCAAACACACTTTGTGTTTTTTGTTCAATGATAAACAAACCACCCCTGCTTCTAGGTGCGTAATATTAAATACATCATGCAAGACACTATGCAAACAACTAATTGTTTACTGATCTATTATTTTATTGCAGTTACATTATCAACCAAATTTACATGTATTATTAATACCACAAGACTATGAAGAATGAAGAATCAAATAAACAAACCGGAAAACAGGATCTGCATAAAATATATTTTAAAATTAACTCTCCATTAGTTCTCCAAAACATTCCAATTTCTACTTTCTAAATAGATATTTTCCCAAAACTTCCAATCCTGGAAATTTCCATTTTAAAATTCCAGATTTTTCATAACCTTATGAACCCGGATAATATCTGTTATAGCCTTATATTCCTACTCTGCATGTAATTCATTACCCACAATTCAATTTTAAACTACGTTAGAAACCGAACGAAAAAAAAAATCACCTGCACTCTCTAATTTTTCAGTTAAAGGCAGTTCATCATTGAATTCAGTGATGTCATCATCCATCTCAGTTCAGTTTAAATAGTATCTGTGCAATCAAGTCAACGATAACGCTGGAAATGAAGTGTCCCCAACTAAGCAAGCCAGAGGCGACAGCGCAACATTTCTGCATTTAACATTGAGAGAATAGGTCATAATTTAGATATATTTTTGAGATGGAAAAATGCAGTTTTACAAATGCTAGAAACGTGGCTTTCTAACAAAAGATTGCTATCAAATAGCACGCCTAGGTTCCTAACTGATGACGAAGAATTGACAGAGCAGCCATCAAGTCTTAGAGAGTGTTCTAGGTTATTATATGCAGAGTTTTTAGGTCCTATAATTAACACCTCTGTTTTTTCAGAATTTAGCAGTAAGAAATTACTCATCATCCAGTTTTTTATATCAACTATGCATTCCGCTAGTTTTTCAAATTGGTATGTTTCGCCGGGTTGTGAAGAAATATAGAGCTGAATATCATCAGCATAACAGTGAAAGCTAACACCGTGTTTCCTGATGATATCTCCCAAGGGTAACATGTAAAGCGTGAAAAGTAACGGCACTAGTACTGAGCCTTGAGGTACTCCATACTGCACTTGTGATCGATATGATACCTCTTCATTCACTGCTACGAATTGATGGCAGTCATATAAGTACAATTTGAACCATGCTAATGCACTTCCATTAATGCCAACAAAGTTTTCTAGTCTATGCAAAAGAATGTTGTGGTCAATAGTGTCGAATCCAATGTTTTCCCCATCAGTTCCCCAAACGTTGACTTAAGACAAAACTGATTATATGTTTCCTTGAATAGCCTATTTAAATACTGTAGTTATTTGTAGCATGTGTATATTTATCAGGATTGCGCGCTGGCGTAAGCACCTTTATGTGCGGGATTCATATGCGCGGCAGCGCCAGAAGCAAGCAGAAGGTACTCCTCTCAGAAAACGTACAAATAAAGATAATTTTAGACGTGTAATTACTATTTTGTGCATTGGGGTTGCTAGACGAGGGCTTAATAAACTCATTTTTGTGAAAACCTGAAATCGACAAATCAACCAAAATAGACATTTTTCACTTTTTTCTGTAGCTCAAAAATAGACTGTGCGCATTCCGACTCATTTTGACAGCACGGGTCACAAATGTAGATGCTTCAGGGCTTGACCCTGCAGCTTGCACACCCACAAGATTCAATGTATGTGAGGCACAAGATGAAAATGTGGCAAGATTATTCTTTTGTAATATTTGGGCCTGGACTCCCTTGATCTTCCCTGACATATTTGCCCCATTATCATACCCTTGCCCCCTGCAATCATTGATGTCCATCCCTCGATCCATAAGCACACTCTCTATTAGGGGTGCAATGGTTGAACTTACTCACGGTTTGGTTTGTATCAAGGTTTTAGAGTCACCGTCTCGGTACATTTCGGTATGCTATGTTCAGGGAAAAAACTATACTGTCAAAAAAATTAAGAAAAATAAGAACAAATAATCTATCTACAAGCAACAGCACAAATAAATACAATAGAGCAAAGATACAAATAAAATAAACAGTGCTGTACTGTTTTTGTAGGTAGGTCTAACTGTTTTTAGGTACAGAAATTGAATGAAGTAATCAAATGTTGCATATTTGACTGTATAAATGAAAGATGAATCTTTATTGAAGTTACAAAAGCTATTCAATCAAGAGCAGTGAGGGATTTCCTTGTTGTTGCTGTTTGATTAATATTAAGAAAGTACTGTCACTTTAAGAG